AACTTTTTTTTATATATAATTATTCGTAAATAATTTTTTAAGACCACAAGTATCATAGCTTGAACTCTATTCTGCCAAATTTGAAGCTCAGAGTCAGTGTTCATTAGTCAACTGATCTAATTTGTTCAATTGATTGACCTTTACGTCCTAACTGTTCTGACATAGAGTTCTGCTAATTTGCTGTGAAAGCTATGGAAGCTGTAAATGTTTATACCAGCTGTAAAACAGTTGAATTAATGAATTTTTGTAGTTATATTATATATTTATATTATTAATTACAGTTAATTTTAATTGTTAAATTTTAATACTATTCTTTTATAGAGGCATGAATTCATATTTGAGTCTTGTGTATAGAACCCAATCTAGGATCGTAATAGAAAGAAAGAAAGAAAGAATAGAAAGAAAGTCATACTAATGTTATTCTACGATTCGCCCGTTCGATATGAAGTTAATTAATTTCGATTATTTAAACATAATAAAATTATTTATATATGAAATTACTCATTTGTTATAAATAAGTTTAAATATGGAACTATAATATTCATATCAGTTTTAGTGGTTAAAGTATTTATTTCTTTCAGGACTTTCATCGGGTAAACCGAATGTGTCAGTATAGATTTCAAAAGTTATATTATTATCAACAAGTTAAATACTTTTGAAATAATTCATTTATTAAAATTCAAATCTCAGCTAAATACATGATACCTTGGATATTATCTGTCACTGAAATAGTGGTGCCAAATCAGTACACATTATGAACAACCATTAATAAGAACTTCAAAAAAAATATAAATCAAAGAAAATAAATTTGGACTCATAAAATACGAATATAATATGGAACATTTAAATATAACATATATACAAGTATATCTCAGAATCAACCCAAGTTCGGCATATTGCGTAGTGGTGAACGTTGTTCAAAGCAACCAATTTTACTAAAATTTATTGTTTCATTCATTCATCACTACTTTTATTGTAGTTCTTTTATTTTAGTTAATGAATTCATTAATGAATGAATGAAATAAATATAACATCTAAATAAACTTTTCATTTACAATTTATAAACAATTCCCATAAGATATATATCTCGAAGCAGTAAATAATACATCTAACAGTAATAAATGATAACTAACAGTCGCCATTTGATGGCATATTTACTAAATTAAAGTTTAGTTAGTTGTAGTTATCAAAGTTCTTAAATAACGTTTGCCTGTCATTAAACGTTAATACTGAAATGAAAATAGAAAGACGTTTTTGCTATGCAGCAGAATTATCTAGAACTCCAACGCTTGTTTCATTCTGAGCACTTGTAATGGTACTGAAATTACATAGTCTACAATATGTATCTTTGAATGGATATCTTAAGAACCAAGCTACAGCGAAATACATATAACTTACTGGACAAAAATGATCAAAATGCTGGTTGTCACAAAAATCTGTTATCGTTATACGACATTGGAGAAATCAAATTCGGTTTAACATTAATTTGATCTGAATTGTTATACCAAAAATAATGATTGATATAATGTTTCATATCTTATAATTGTATTCATTATAATTTATTTATATAAATAATATATGAAACACTTCTTATCACGTTTTAAGCCATTATAAGTTTTGCAAGTTTTTTGGATGGTCACTTTATTTGGGATTTTGTCTAAGTCGGCTGTGCTTTTGAAAGCATTGGAAAAGTGGAGCTTATATTAACACTTCGAGCTTTATTGAGCTTACTGCCAATTTCATTCCAATAACATCAAACTGTAAGCAAAGAACGTAAATAAACGCGAAGACCGTATTATATTACAATACGGTCTTTGGTGTTCAAATCGAGGCGCCTAAACTTTATCCTGAGAGGATTCTAAAATTTCAATAACAACTTAAATAACTTAAGCTAATTAACATTAAAAACACAAAACTATAAGCTCTGTAGCTCTATAGCTCTGTAAACGCATAATAAACATAAATAACTTCCAGTGAGATAAAATATCTGAACTAAAAATTTATTTCGCTAGAATCCACAATAAAACCCAAAATGTTTGTTAAGGAAAATCTTTATTTCTATTTACAAACAAATATTTATACTACTAAATAATTTATCATTTTCCATTGCCTTTGATAGATTCTTACTTATAGACAATTTCGTTTCCAAATAGTGGCTTCGTACAGTAATAATTTTTACATAGGACTAAAACCGATAATATAACCACAGATCCACACATTTAATTATGGTTCGATCCATTAACGTAAAAATGTATTCAAACCTTATTAAAAATCCATGTTTAATTAAAATAAACTGTTAATAAACTGTTTTGTTAAAATAAATGGAGCTTTTTCCTTACCTGGGTACATATACGTATTTTGGATCGCTTCTTCTTATTTTATTTAAGGAATTGGAATAAAAAGGATTTGAGTGGAGCAAGGATTATATGGAGTTTCAAGAGTTGTGACCTTAACCATCTGCGAAATAATTGTTGTAAGAAATCAAATTTTTTGCTTTATGAATATTTCTGAATAATTACGTTAAGAATTATTTAGGAATAGCACGAGATGTGGAAATTGTTACTGGTTCTACAGACTGGATTCAAGTTTCCACCTTACACAATAGTATAATCTGTAAATAAAGGTTAGTAAGCATAGCTGTCAAAATAGGAAATTTATTTGAAATATATTTACTTTGATGTCCAGTCTAAAAAAGTTGATATTAATGGCATAAGCGTTTTTTCCGCTTCTTGCCGGCCTTGCGCTTTGTTTTTGGCTTAGGGCTTAGCTTTGACTTACATACAGGCTTCTTCTTCTTCGTGAGACATTTATTTTTCTTCTTCTTTGCACTAGGGCCACAATCCGGAACAACGTTCTCGGGACTCTTCGCGGTTGGTCTTACCGGTCTTACCGGTCTTATCTGGTTGGTAAATCGATTTTTCTTCGGCCGTCAGAGAGTCCCACGCGGCTCTGCCAATTCTAGCAGCCTGAACTGCTGTTAAATGCGAATTGCAGCCCTGGAATGTTTCCAAAAAGTTCAAAAAACGTTTCTCCTCGCTTTGCATATTCGCACCTCGTAGAATAACTTTTTGTTGAAAGAAAAATGAACTTTATAAAAATATATTTAGCGATCTCAAATTCGTAACTAACTCTATACAAAATAAATATGAAATGATATTTTCAAATTCCACAAAAACAAATAATTTTTTCAAATTATTATGAGAATGTGATTTCATTCAAAAATGATAAGAAAAGTTAAGTATAAAATCAGTAGTCGTTCTTTATATTTGTTGTGAATTTTGATATTCGAGGAAGTTAATATGAGAGGAATTTGGTGTAAGTAATGGCATAAATTTACTATTTATAACGGGTCTGTTTATCCAGTAAGGCATATCACTTCACAATCACCACTACTATGCGGAAGGAACTTGGAAAGCAGTGATATTATCAAAGAAAACAAAGCACTGCGATCGAAAAAGATCTATCGTACATAGGCTTGTGTATTTAGGTTTTCTGTAAATCTTAGCAGAGTTTGTGGTTTATTGTTTCATAGCAAACGTTATCAGGAGGCATGTTATCTGAAGGCTCTTCACAGACAAAGGCATTATCTAAAGATTTATTACGAATGCACTCACAAGTTCAGACATCAGTGTCGGATAGGCCTAACTTATTTAAGTGAAATAAGCCCTGACTTATGCTTAGCAAAAGTGATTAGAAGAGCACAATCGGTTACTCTAAGCCGTGATATATAGACATTGATGTGTGTTTCAAATAGGATAAAGAAATGGGTCTCGATAGATTAAGTTTAATACTAGAGTTTATTTATGTAAACGAAGAGCATACATAAAATACATGAAGACCTCTGGGTCACAGGGCGAAATAGTAATATATATATAACGAAAGTGAAGACAAGTAACAAATGGTACCAGAAATAGTTTCAAAATTTTTATTGTATTAGCTTCAAATCTTAAATCAGAAGATTAAAAATGTTTGATATAAGTGAATAAGTATTATTGTTTTGAAAACTAATCAAGTAATAATTTAGGCCTGTAATTCAAACAAAACTTCAAATCTGGATAAACTTTAAAATATTAAAAAGCTTTATAATTATTATATTTTTTATTGTATTCCTTTTATATTTGAAAATATTTTTTGTTCATTAAATATAAGTATTCAGAATTCCATAATAATAATAATCTTATATCGGAAATATAGGATATTTATTTCCTTGAAAATATTTTTTAAAAAGAATCTTTTGTATTTTGATTAACTGTCCAATTAACCCGTTTCACAAATTAATTGTGACAAATTTCAGTCAATCTCAACTTTTAGACAATAAAGTATATCAATTAATATAGATTGAAACCCCAACTTCTCTATATGTATTCCAAAATAGCCAGTCCATAGTTAAATTTAGAAAAATGAATCATTTAAAGAAGGTCTGCATAATACAAAAGAGAGAGGAGGATAATGGTCAGGTTAGTTTTTTTAAACCGACTATTAGAAGGGGGACTATGCAATTAATTATTGTGACTTGAAGATTTCAAGTGGCATCAGATTTGTTATACACCACCAAAAATAATTTTTGAATTATTGCGAAAATATTTTAGCTATAATTAAATGCATTCTTAATAAGTAATGACAATAGTCCATCTCGTGTCTATCAATATATACTCGTACTAGTGAAAAACCAAGTACTGAGATCAGAAACAAAAATTACTCGACTCAGTAGACGTTGATATGTTTTTGAATTTACTTGATTTGATATTTCATAAAAATTAAAATATTATCAAATAAGTTTTGTTTTCATTTTCCGTAAAATTTTTTTATAATTTTTTATTTTATATTTTATATAATTTTTAGCATTCATTCATAACAAAATTTTACAAGCTGAAGCTCTAACAATGTCATTTGCAAAAATTTCGATGTTTCTGTTTAAAAAATTGTTCAGGAAGCATGCAACAGAAGTCCTGACCGGCGGTGTACCAAATAAATATCAATACGAGAAGAACGTAGAACTTACTAAACCCATTCCAGTTTGTGCTCAATATCCGACACAATGTATTTCTAGATTCAGCAGAGTTAGGGCAATTACTTCAAAATCTGTTCCCCGTGGATATGGTGGTAGTCCACAACCAACCATGGGGAATGGCGAAACTGCCCGGATTTTGCGCAATTTGTCGTATTACACACACTGAAGTTATCCCTGGTCTGGTGATTGATGTTGTGGCTTGGTGTATTATAGATCTTTACGAGGATTCCGTCATTTAACCATAAACTGAATAACCGACATTGGTGTTACACAATGTTCGGAGAAATCTCTTGTCTTCCCTAACGGAGAAAATAGATAACAACATGTAGATGGTGGACGTGGGCGACATGGTTGACATGGTGGACAGAAAAGGATTTATAATACATCACGCAATGACATCAATCGTGTTGCTGCTGGAAAGACTTTCTGGTGTCGTGGCTTCAGGCGTGGTACTTTAAGCAGAAATTGTGACTTAGTGGTTATGATTCAAATATTTTTTATGCATTACTTAGCCTTAACGATGTATGATTTTTAATTTATTTTGCTACATACATATATTATGATCATAATATATAAAAGAATAAAAAGAATTTTTTTACTTATTTCGGCAAAGTATTCGCTTTCTATTTTAGAAAACTTTTTTTTATATATAATTATTCGTAAATAATTTTTTAAGACCACAAGTATCATAGGTTGAACTCTATTCTGCCAAATTTGAAGCTCAGAGTCAGTGTTCATTAGTCAACTGATCTAATTTGTTCAATTGATTGACCTTTACGTCCTAACTGTTCTGACATAGAGTTCTGTTAATTTGCTGTGAAAGCTATGGAAGCTGTAAATGTTTATACCAGCTGTAAAACAGTTGAATTAATGACATAACATATACGTACATATACGTATTTTGGATCGCTTCTTCTTATTTTATTTAAGGAATTGGAATAAAAAGGATTTGAGTGGAGCAAGGATTATATGGAGTTTCAAGAGTTGTGACCTTAACCATCTGCGAAATAATTGTTGTAAGAAATCAAATTTTTTGCTTTATGAATATTTCTGAATAATTACGTTAAGAATTATTTAGGAATAGCACGAGATGTGGAAATTGTTACTGGTTCTACAGACTGGATTCAAGTTTCCACCTTACACAATAGTATAATCTGTAAATAAAGGTTAGTAAGCATAGCTGTCAAAATAGGAAATTTATTTGAAATATATTTACTTTGATGTCCAGTCTAAAAAAGTTGATATTAATGGCATAAGCGTTTTTTCCGCTTCTTGCCGGCCTTGCGCTTTGTTTTTGGCTTAGGGCTCAGCTTTGACTTACATACAGGCTTCTTCTTCTTCGTGAGACATTTATTTTTCTTCTTCTTTGCACTAGGGCCACAATCCGGAACAACGTTCTCGGGACTCTTCGCGGGTGGTCTTCCCGGTCTTACCGGTCTTACTGGTTGGTAAATCGATTTTTCTTCGGCCGTCAGAGAGTCCCACGCGGCTCTGCCAATTCTAGCAGCCTGAACTGCTGTTAAATGCGAATTGCAGCCCTGGAATGTTTCCAAAAAGTTCAAAAAACGTTTCTCCTCGCTTTGCATATTCGCACCTCGTAGAATAACTTTTTGTTGAAAGAAAAATGAACTTTATAAAAATATATTTAGCGATCTCAAATTCGTAACTAACTCTATACAAAATAAATATGAAATGATATTTTCAAATTCCACAAAAACAAATAATTTTTTCAAATTATTATGAGAATGTGATTTCATTCAAAAATGATAAGAAAAGTTAAGTATAAAATCAGTAGTCGTTCTTTATATTTGTTGTGAATTTTGATATTCGAGGAAGTTAATATGAGAGGAATTTGGTGTAAGCAATGGCATAAATTTACTATTTATAACGGGTCTGTTTATCAAGTAAGGCATATCACTTCACAATCACCACTTCTATGCGGAAGGAACTTGGAAAGCAGTGATATTATCAAAGAAAACAAAGCACTGCGATCGAAAAAGATCTATCGTACATAGGCTTGTGTATTTAGGTTTTCTGTAAATCTTAGCAGAGTTTGTGGTTTATTGTTTCATAGCAAACGTTATCAGGAGGCATGTTATCTGAAGGCTCTTCACAGACAAAGGCATTATCTAAAGATTTATTACGAATGCACTCAGAAGTTCAGACATCAGTGTCGGATAGGCCTAACTTATTTAAGTGAAATAAGCCCTGACTTATGCTTAGCAAAAGTGATTAGAAGAGCACAATCGGTTACTCTAAGCCGTGATATATAGACATTGATGTGTGTTTCAAATAGGATAAAGAAATGGGTCTCGATAGATTAAGTTTAATACTAGAGTTTATTTATATAAACAAAGAGCATACATAAAATACATGAAGACCTCTGGGTCACAGGGCGAAATAGTAATATATATATAACGAAAGTGAAGACAAGTAACAAATGGTACCAGAAATAGTTTCAAAATTTTTATTGTATTAGCTTCAAATCTTAAATCAGAAGATTAAAATTGTTTGATATAAGTGAATAAGTATTATTGTTTTGAAAACTAATCAAGTAATTATTTAGGCCTGTAATTCAAACAAAACTTCAAATCTGGATAAACTTTAAAATATTAAAAAGCTTTATAATTATTATATTTTTTATTGTATTTCTTATATATTTGAAAATATTTTTTGTTCATTAAATATAAGCATTCAGAATTCCATAATAATAATAATCTTATATCGGAAATATAGGATATTTATTTCCTTGAAAATATTTTTTAAAAAGAATCTTTTGTATTTTGATTAACTGTCCAATTAACCCGTTTCACAAATTAATTGTGACAAATTTCAGTCAATCTCAACTTTTAGACAATAAAGTATATCAATTAATATAGATTGAAACCCCAACTTCTCTATATGTATTCCAAAATAGCCAGTCCATAGTTAAATTTAGAAAAATGAATCATTTAAAGAAGGTCTGCATAATACAAAAGAGAGAGGAGGATAATGGTCAGGTTAGTTTTTTTAAACCGACTATTAGAAGGGGGACTATGCAATTAATTATTGTGACTTGAAGATTTCAAGTGGCATCAGATTTGTTATACACCACCAAAAATAATTTTTGAATTATTGCGAAAATATTTTAGCTATAATTAAATGCATTCTTAATAAGTAATGACAATAGTCCATCTCGTGTCTATCAATATATACTCGTACTAGTGAAAAACCAAGTACTGAGATCAGAAACAAAAATTACTCGACTCAGTAGACGTTGATATGTTTTTGAATTTACTTGATTTGATATTTCATAAAAATTAAAATATTATCAAATAAGTTTTGTTTTCATTTTCCGTAAAATTTTTTTATAATTTTTTATTTTATATTTTATATAATTTTTAGCATTCATTCATAACAAAATTTTACAAGCTGAAGCTCTAACAATGTCATTTGCAAAAATTTCGATGTTTCTGTTTAAAAAATTGTTCAGGAAGCATGCAACAGAAGTCCTGACCGGCGGTGTACCAAATAAATATCAATACGAGAAGAACGTAGAACTTACTAAACCCATTCCAGTTTGTGCTCAATATCCGACACAATGTATTTCTAGATTCAGCAGAGTTAGGGCAATTACTTCAAAATCTGTTCCCCGTGGATATGGTGGTAGTCCACAACCAACCATGGGGAATGGCGAAACTGCCCGGATTTTGCGCAATTTGTCGTATTACACACACTGAAGTTATCCCTGGTCTGGTGATTGATGTTGTGGCTTGGTGTATTATAGATCTTTACGAGGATTCCGTCATTTAACCATAAACTGAATAACCGACATTGGTGTTACACAATGTTCGGAGAAATCTCTTGTCTTCCCTAACGGAGAAAATAGATAACAACATGTAGATGGTGGACGTGGGCGACATGGTTGACATGGTGGACAGAAAAGGATTTATAATACATCACGCAATGACATCAATCGTGTTGCTGCTGGAAAGACTTTCTGGTGTCGTGGCTTCAGGCGTGGTACTTTAAGCAGAAATTGTGACTTAGTGGTTATGATTCAAATATTTTTTATGCATTACTTAGCCTCAACGATGTATGATTTTTAATTTATTTTGCTACATACATATATTATGATCATAATATATAAAAGAATAAAAAGAATTTTTTTACTTATTTCGGCAAAGTATTCGCTTTCTATTTTAGAAAACTTTTTTTTATATATAATTATTCGTAAATAATTTTTTAAGACCACAAGTATCATAGCTTGAACTCTATTCTGCCAAATTTGAAGCTCAGAGTCAGTGTTCATTAGTCAACTGATCTAATTTGTTCAATTGATTGACCTTTACGTCCTAACTGTTCTGACATAGAGTTCTGCTAATTTGCTGTGAAAGCTATGGAAGCTGTAAATGTTTATACCAGCTGTAAAACAGTTGAATTAATGAATTTTTGTAGTTATATTATATATTTATATTATTAATTACAGTTAATTTTAATTGTTAAATTTTAATACTATTCTTTTATAGAGGCATGAATTCATATTTGAGTCTTGTGTATAGAACCCAATCTAGGATCGTAATAGAAAGAAAGAAAGAAAGAATAGAAAGAAAGTCATACTAATGTTATTCTACGATTCGCCCGTTCGATATGAAGTTAATTAATTTCGATTATTTAAACATAATAAAATTATTTATATATGAAATTACTCATTTGTTATAAATAAGTTTAAATATGGAACTATAATATTCATATCAGTTTTAGTGGTTAAAGTATTTATTTCTTTCAGGACTTTCATCGGGTAAACCGAATGTGTCAGTATAGATTTCAAAAGTTATATTATTATCAACAAGTTAAATACTTTTGAAATAATTCATTTATTAAAATTCAAATCTCAGCTAAATACATGATACCTTGGATATTATCTGTCACTGAAATAGTGGTGCCAAATCAGTACACATTATGAACAACCATTAATAAGAACTTCAAAAAAAATATAAATCAAAGAAAATAAATTTGGACTCATAAAATACGAATATAATATGGAACATTTAAATATAACATATATACAAGTATATCTCAGAATCAACCCAAGTTCGGCATATTGCGTAGTGGTGAACGTTGTTCAAAGCAACCAATTTTACTAAAATTTATTGTTTCATTCATTCATCACTACTTTTATTGTAGTTCTTTTATTTTAGTTAATGAATTCATTAATGAATGAATGAAATAAATATAACATCTAAATAAACTTTTCATTTACAATTTATAAACAATTCCCATAAGATATATATCTCGAAGCAGTAAATAATACATCTAAC